AAAAAAAAAAATTTTGAATTTACTTACTTGTAGCCGGAGTTAGAGGCGGTCGGATACTTATGACCGCTACTGTATTTTGAATTTTGAATTGCTGGTCATTTTTTCAGGGGAGTTTATGTTGCAATGAATTTTAAATGTAGTATTTTTCATTCTTTTTATAAAGATTAATTTATCAAAAGATATAACATTATTAAAAATTTAAATCAGCAATTATAAATATTATAATAATTTAGTATTATAAGAATTTCAATTTGACCCTATATAACTAAGATAAATAAATGCCAATGTATTTATTTAATATTTCTTTAATATAATTAATAATGATATGAAATAATAGACTTTAAATAAGAAAAATACTTGAATTAAAGAATGTGAATTATTAGTAGAAAAGTGAAAAAGTGAATTAGAACATCTCTCATTAAAGAAAATAATAAATAAATAAAAAATCACTATTGTTTATATATTTTAAATAAATATGCAATGAAGCAATTATTTATGATGAACATAGTTTTCAAATTACCATTCTGAAATGATTCTAAAATAATTACATTTAATTTGTCAATATGTATTTTAATAACATTATTTATCATTAACAATTCGATGACAGAACTTAAATAAATCAATTTTTTTTAAGTCCTACATATCACGGCCAATGTATAAAATTTATAATTATAGTTTAGAAGAATAATTCATTTAAAATTTCTGCAATCATTGACCTTAATAAAGGGTCGGAAGAAACATATTTACATTTCAACGGGAAGAACTTCCTCAGTTCCATAATTGATATAATTCGAGTCTGCGCCATATGTTGAAACATTTTTTTGATTATTTTCAACCAATAAGAAGTCGGTAAAAATATGTTCCATTCCATACTCTCGATTGTTACAGGTGGAATAATCTTCAATAAGAGGATACGAGTTCGGCGTAAAGATTATATCCTCAACGGGAACCTCAAAACCTTGGGTAAAAGTGACATAATCTGAATCAACTTGCAGAGGTGAAAACTGCACGCTCTCGCATTCCAACATTTTAATATCCTCTTGATCGTTAGGAACTTGATTCATTAAATACGGGTCTTCGAAAAAGTTACTATTAGGAAAACTAGCTTGGGAACTATTGATATAATTGTTGTCGAGGAAAAAATTCGTAACGCTGGCAGAATTATCTTCAATCGGAAGATACCCATTTGTTGAACTTTGCATATTTTCAACAGGATCCTCATTGCCTTGGATATAATTGACATAATTCGAGCCAGCTTTATTAATTACACGTGAAACCTCAACTTCATTCATATTTTTATCAAATAAAATTTGAATCGGATTCTCCAGCTTATACAAAGATTTAGCTTCCTCAGATAGCTTGCTGTAAAATGCCTTTACGTTTTCTGGTTCTTCATCCCAATAACATGATGCAATTTTAGAAAGTTGGCCCATGGGAGGTAATTTGATGTTTCTATTACGATTTTCTTTAATTAATGCCTTTTTATACGTGATGAAAGCATTCGGAAAAGTTTTTGCTTTTTTATTATTGTTAGGTGCTTTAATAACACTTATAATGTCATTTAAAGATAAGGAGGAAGGGAACGCCGGTTTGAGAACATAATTATAGTCAATATTAGTTTCTTTATTATTATTAACCTTGGAATCGATGTGATTTTTATTTGTTGGCTTTCTGATTTTAGGCATTTTTTTTATTTAAAAATAATAAATAAAATAATTATGTATGGTATAAAGTTGACTTGTTCTTGAGGGAAAAAACACGAATAAAACAACAGTATTTATTAAATTTATACTGTATATTGTATATTAACTTGTAAATTGATTTGCAATATATAATAGTATATTAAAAAATTAAAATTAACCATTTTAAAAAAGTATAAATATGGAGAAAATACACCTACCTCTATTTTTTTTTTTTTTTTAAAAAAAAATTATATTACACCAAATTTTTTATCCTGCAGAATTTATTTTATTTTTTTTTTTTTTAAAAAAAAAAATAAAAATTACAAGCTAAAATGGCGGTATCCATTATTTTTAGACTGTAGAGTTACTGCTTTTTGTTTAATTCTTTTCGAAAAAAAAAAGTTATTATAAATATCAAAATTTATTTTTATCTTTTCGAAAAAAATTTATTATAAACACCGACAAAATTTGCTTCTCAAATTTATTTATTTTTTTTTTGATATTAGTTTTTGCTTCGTAAAAACAAGTCCATACAGTTATAATGAAAATCTCAAATATATTGGTTATAAATTCTCCTACATCAAAAGATCTTTGGACCTTTATATGAACACTCGTTGTTCTTAATTGTTTTGGCAAGATTTGTGCACATGTCCGCTGCCTTACAAATATAATACGGCGTTTGGTATTCAGCTGCCCATGTGAATTAGTTTTGAGGTTTTTCGACGAAAATCATAACTTTTTGGGTGGGTTCCGTTGAATCTATATTCTGTTTGGACGTTTCTTTTGTGATAACTAAGTAGCGGCTTTTCGTAAGGTTGAAACGTAAGTTTGGATCATCGGTAGCTCATCAATTTGCTCCAAGACTCTGGATCAGTGTTGTCCATTTTCCATGTCCCAAGCATTTTAAGACTGTCCCACACTATGTCCCAAGCTGTTCCACATTATGTCCCAATTGTCCCAAGCTCATCTGGGACATGTCCCAGCACAACACTGCTCTGGATAGAGAGCATGTTCGGTTAAAATTATGCGTAATAGGAGGTTCTTCTCAAGGCGCAGTGTAGAAGGCGTCTTTTGAAAGTCAGACGTTTTGAAAAGGCTTGACAATTCGCAAGACGTTTCACTTAAAAAGGTAATATATATAATATGATTTACATGATTTAGTGGACCATCATATTAACGGTCATTAACTTTATTTGGTTGGTTAGTTAAGGTTCTTTGCACAATTCAATTTTTAGTCGGTTCCAATTGGTAAAGAATATATTTTGGATTAAGCTGTTTAATTTACTATTAGAGACTTTGATGCGAAAGACAAGTTAAATTCAATCCGGAACTGATTTATGGAGTCGCATCTTATTTATCACTTGATAAAACATACGATTATATATATTCTCGTCGCTATGGTCAGCTGCTGGAATGATCAGATGTATTTAAAGGTATGTGTGTGAAAGCTAAAAGAAAATTTTTAAGAACCTCCAGAGATGTAAGTGAATTCTTAACTTTGTTGTTTTATTAAAGAAATTGTAAACAATGACCAATTAAATGTTCCGTATAAATTTGACATTATAAAATAGGAAAAATTAGATTTCGGCGCTCTTCATTCCATGCGATTCTGGTGGGGATTTGTACGACATATCTTTATTTAACGACTACCTAAAATACCTAATTTATGATTGTGAACACAAATTTTTCAAAGGATTTTCAAACCTAAACGTGAATAATATATATATATATATAATAATAATAATAATAACGTTTGAAATGTATATTTAACATAATTGCTTTTTTAATTAAAATAATTAAAAAAAATTTTCTTTAATGAATAAAAAATTTTATTTTAAACAATATATGCCGATTTGCAAAAATTTACCGAAAATATATCAAGTTTTGATATTTAAAAAAAAAAAAAAAAAAAAAAAAAAGGCAGAACAAAAATCCGTTGATCTTACTTTTTCCGGAAAAAAATCCGTTACAAAAGAATTTTTATTGGGGATTTTGGATTTCGCCGGAGTTTATAATACTATTTTAAGCACTGACTATAAAAGTGTTTAACGAGAGTTCATTTATTATTTAATCAGTCCCCGTTTCCTAGTATTATTTATCACAAAGGAATATCTTCAGCGGCGACTAATTGAGAAATCGTGGTATATACCTTTCGTACAATATGTTTTCAAATTCGTTCAATATTAATAGTAATTTTCGCGTGAATTTTTGAACCAATATGATTCACAAGACAAAAAAAAAAAATATTCTTTCAACTTTTCCTGCATAACCCACAATTTGATATTAAGAATGCTGGTTTAAATAGCGAATGGTATCTTAAGATATTTCTTAGGCTTTTCTTTATAATTGTTAATAGCATTAAATGGTTCCTAGAGTATGTATCCAATTATTGTTGGTTTCCAATCTCACATATGGGAAATTTACTAGGAAAATCAGTCTCGGGGAATTTTTTGACTAAAATTAAGACATTATATTTTAATCTAAAACTACAATGCAATAAAAATTAAAAAATTCCCCGAGCCTGATTTTCCTAGCAAATTGTCTTTATTAATTATGAAAATAATAAAAAAAAAAAAATTATTTATTTATCACAACTTTATAATTACTTGAAAAAAACTGATTAACAAAGAAAAAGATGAGAATAATCATGATATACAGTAGATAACGAAACAATACAAAATAATACGTCTTGCGTCACAATTAACACGAGAATTCGCCAAAATCAAATCGGATAGATTCTTCAAGCTAAATCTTGCAAGGTTACATTATCATTTCGTGCTACGGTACTTAAACATTTAACAATTCCTTTACCAAATCCTACAATTTTTTTATAATCCACCGCACCAGCCTGAACAGAAATTGTAAAAGTTAATCTCTTTTCGTAACTTACGATACTAATGACCAAACCAGAGGAGAAAGTATCTGCCGATTGAGTAAATATCAAATCATAAGTCTTCCACTTGTTAACAAAAGAATTCCGTTTTGAACCTGATGACACCTTTTGAAATTTTCCAAGGTTGCTAACCGAAATACTAAATTCTCTACCCATGATATCATCATTAACTTTCTTCATTAAAGTGTTTTCAAAGGCATTCTTTCCTTTTGGAATTAATTTCGTGATCCCTATACGTTCGATTGAATCGGGAATGCCCTTTTTTATTATCTGTTCTCTGCACTCTGCACTCATCTTCCAAAAGTCTAGTTCCGGATACTTGTCATCATTCTTGGGTCTTGGATATTTGTAGACATGAGCATTTTCAGATGCATAAAGTCCCATTTGAGTCCAAGGGACTTCTGGTGTTGTGTAAGGTCTAAGATTTATGTTTGTACACAGGTTAATCGAATCATATGGTTCCAACTTTTTTGCATTCTTTGATAACTTATCATCTACATTGCTAGCAAGTATGAAATGATGATAAGCGGAGAATAAGACGGAAACGTTGAATAATCCAGTTATGGTGGTATGATGTTTTTTGCTTAATTTAACTAATGACTTCAAGTCTTTAGATGCGATGGAATATAAGAACGTTTTGGTAGTGTTTATAGGAATGGAGAATCTAGGAGTATCACCCAACCAACAACCTTTGGTTAATTTCATTTTAATGGTCGTTGGAAGAACGAATTCTTTAATTCCTTCTTTGATTAGGTAGAATAATGAAGGTCTGGTACAAAGACATTGTTCTACCGTTTTATTAAATGGTAATTTTGACTTTTTTGGAAGTGTAATTACAGATTTTAATTGTGACGGATTATTTTTGCTTAACTCCTTTAATAGAAATTCATTGAATGTGGCATAAAATGCCAAAGAACTCCTTCCATCCGCAACGCTATGATGCCAAACTAAACCGATGATCAAATTCCAATTCTTTGGGTCATTAGGATCGAACTTTTTAGAACTCTTTATACCAACTACGATCCTCCATAATGGCAAGGTTTGATCTTCAACATCAAATTTCTTACTATGCTCTTTCTCCAACAATGTTTCGATGTCCTTATCATCATTTATCACCTCAAATCTTATTAACCTGCTCAAATCAATTTTTTGGAGACGGATGAATTTAGGGTTGGAAGTTTCCAAATCTGTGAAACAAACTGCCAATTCCGCGTGATCTAAGATAACTTGTTCAAGCGTCGGATATAGAACATTTAGGATGTCATTTTTTAATTCGGTGGTAATGGAAAATTTAGAGATATGAAAAGGAAATGTTATGGGAACCTTATAACGAATTAAGAAGCCTACGTTATAATAATTATCTATGTCATGATTTACTTGAAAAATTCTTTCGATGACTCCAAGCGGGCGAATGATAGTTTTCCTTAAGCCCATCTTTTTAGTCATAATGAATTTGTCTAAAATAAAACAAAAAAAAAAATTTTTTTTACTTTTTTTTCCTAACCCTAATTCGCGTTCGTTATGATAATAAGAAAGATAAAGTTAATGTTAATGTTAATGTTAATATTAAGGAAAAAAAAAAAAAAAACTTCAGCTTATATATCTGTGAATGTTAATAATATATTCAATTTATTGGATTAGTCACCCAGCCGGTGATATTTTTCAGAATGGTTATTTTTATTTAATTTCTTTTTTTATCAGTTTCCTAAGCGATTTCCAAAAACGATTTGTTTCTGTTTTATTTTTATATCTATCGATTTTTATAGCAATAATTTTCAAACCATGTGAGGGTAATATCTTGATCGTCATTTTTGCAATTATGTAATTTGATTTATCTCTTTGAGCTTATAATTAGAAATTCCCTTAGATAGAATAGTTATTTCACGGATCTCATTATCATCACGGCTACGCCGTGATAAGTAATGGATTCCCGTGAAATAACTAGTACATATTCACATGGGAAGATTGCTAGGAAAATCAGTTTCGGGGAATTTTTTTTTGACTTTTATTTTTGATGTTATATGTAATAAGGTCTTGATTATAGTCAAAAAAAATTATTTTTCTAGAAACCTGAAATGATTTTCGATATTCGAATTGATTTTCGATACCCGAAATGATGTTCGATATAATATATAAACTAAAATTTTTAATATATAAAGACCGAAATCGATTTATTTTTTTAGTTCCTCTATTTGGTTAAAGAACCTAACCTGAAATTGGCATAGGATCGACATTGAAGTAATGTAGAGATCGGTAAAATGATCGGCAAGGTGCCCTCCCAAATGGAACATTCGCGAAGAACGAAAAAAAATGGTAGCCTTTTCGGTTTAAACAGCTTGTAATGGTAAAATCTGGTTTATTTATTTATTTTTTAATTACTTAATTTTATTATTAAAATATTACAAAGTTGAATACAGAACAATAATACATTAGGAAAATAAAAGGATCTGGATTAAGAAAATGAAATACTATAAAGTTGTTAACGCGAGGAAATTATTATGAAATAAAAATATTCGGCGTCCTGACCACCACAATATTTACATATTAGATACCTTCATATTATTATTCAAAGTGTATCAAATCATCATACACTCGCAATTCCTTCAATTCAGATACAATCCACCTTTCGGATGGTTGAGGTTTGTGTTTTTTTATCAGTATTGATTTCTCGTTTTCCATAAGAATATTCCTGGTTTCAACCAACATAGTTCCCAACCTATTAAGGCCACCTCCATACTTTCCTCCATCTCCCCAATACCGATCATTTTCTGTATGCTCGTAAATTTTTGCCTTGCCTGTTGAAAGTAGTTTGTACTTCAATTTAACATGTTGTGTAAATTTCGAAAAGAGTGCATCCTTCATTTTTGTTTCTTTAAAGATATCGTTATCCGGTGGCTTAGGCGATTCCCAGTCCTCGCGCTTGTGAGAATTATGACTCCGCGCAATAGAGAAAGCTTCGCGAGCCGTAAAAGCGAAACGAATTTTATCGCGAATATATTCGCTTTCGAATTTCGCGGCCTGGACTAGATATAACATTGGTTTTGAAAATAAATAGATGATTATAAAGAATTCTAAACAAATTCCTTACATATATTACTATTACTCACAGTAATGTTCTGTTGTTGGCCATTCTACCCGATCTATATTGATCTTGGCTCTATAAAAATTGGTAAACTCATAGTATGGTTCGTCTTTATTATAAAATAATATATCATCTTTTCCGTATTTATTAGGACGATATGCCTATTTTAGTATCACAAAAAAATAAAATAAAATATAAATATCTAGTAAAGGAACATACATTCATGCAAATAATTTTGATCAATACCTTTGTAATTACATCTCTCAACATATTGCTAAATTCTTGTTTCCAACCTTCTCTATCTCTATAAGAACCTTTTGCAACAGCAATGCCAAGATCGTGAAAGTTTTGAACGATATACGTTGGACATGAAGGTCGTATGAGAATGATATTTAATATTTCACTCTCAAACCTACTACGGAATTTCTTAAAAAAATTATGTAAACTTTCAGGGTTTTCTTTTTGATTTATAGAAACGACCAACGCAACCTTCCATGAGTTGGCCCAACAGTTTATGATACAATCATAAATAAAATTTAATGCATTATCAGTATCTATTCTAGGACTTTTGAAGTTACGAAAAATGGAATGATAATATGTTGAATGACCTTCATCAAGGTTCGGATGTTCATTAGAATCAAATGATATGGACAATATGAGTAGACGCATGACTTTCGGGGGAAGAAATGAGGTTACTTGTTGACAATTACTTCTCATATGTGAAGAACCATAACGAATATTGTTATCTTGCCAACTGGAATTTTGGGATGAGCTTGAGCTCTGCGAGGCACTTGCGTATGACTTATAAAATGGTGAATTTCCATAAGTATGTGGGTTTGAATTCGTTGATGAATTTGTACTAGTATGTTGATGTGAATAAGGACGATCTGATTCCAAAGGTGCTAGTGGATCGAGTGATCTTACATCCGGATTGCTTTTATTATTCCATTTGGAAGAATGCTCTGGATTATGATCAAGTTTTGTCTTGTCGTGGTCATCATCATCAGTTTCATAACCAAAAAGTCCGAGAAAGGTAGAAAGGAAGCGCTTACTCTTCTTGGCTGGTATTGGTTTTGTTTTATCAGGGATTTCTTCCTTAAGAATATTGTCGAAATCGACATTTTCATATTTTGAAGCGTCGCAATGACACGAATAAAATCCCATTCCCAATAACCCACCGATTATATTTAGACATTTACATTCCTTTACATTTTTAATTTGATTATCTTTTTGTAAGACATCTGATGCGGATGTTCCTTTGGCGTCAATGTCAGAACCTTTGTTAATATCAAGACGAGATGTAACTGTAACTTCTTGACCGGGAGACTCTCCTGTTCCTTCATAATCATTTTGGCTGCTCTGACTAACACCATTTTGAATTTTATCCCCTGCTTTTTGTTTATCATATAGTTCGTTTTTTGAATTAGAATAGCAAGGAGTCGGTTCGACAGCTTTTTGAATGTCAGAAGTTTGATTTGCCCAACCAAATCCAACATTATCATACTTAGATTTTTTACGAAGTCTGCCTAATACGGGTTGTATGTGCGGATTACTAAAAATATATCCCATGCTATGCGTTGGCGCATCATTGGTAGGTGGTGATACGGCATCGGGTTTTGAAATATCATTTGTCGTTTCGCTAAATTGCTTTTTATTGGAGATGTGGTTAATCTTCTCATCAGCTTTGGCTGTTTCACTGACATTCGTTTCTTTGCGTTGATCTGATGGTTGATTATTAGTTGGAGGAATAGAATGAGGACTTTCAAGAAGCGAGAAGTCGTTACCCTTTGAGTGCTCCTTTTTCACTAGATTAATTCGGTTTTCAAAAAGTTCCTCTTCTGGAATAAACTGAGATCGTGAATTATGATCTTCAGAATTTGAAACGAAAGTTGAAGTTTCCACTTCGTTACTATCAGAATTTGTAACGAGAGATTGTGAAGATTTTAAATTATGATCTTCAGAATTTGAAACGAAAGTTCGTAAAGTATCCACTTCATTACTTGTAACGAGAGGTTGTGAAGATTCTACTACATTAAGATCAGAGCTTGCAACGGGAGGTTGTGAAGATTCTACTACATTAAGATCAAAGCTTGCGATGGGTGGTTGTGAAGGTTCTACTACATTAAGATCAGAGCTTGCAACGGGAGGTTCTACTACATTAAGATCAAAGCTTGCAACGGGAGGTTGTGAAGATTCTACTACAATATTATCAGGGCTTGTAACGGGTGGTTGTGAAGATTCTACTACATTAAAATCAGAGTTTTTCACGAGAGGTTCTGAAGTTTCTGCTTCATTAATATCAGAGTTCGAAACTTTGATTGGATTTAAGATTGATGCATCTCTCTTTCTAGCCTTATTAGTTGAATGTTTATGGTAATGGTTATTCTTTTTCGATTTCTTCTTTTTTGCCATTTTCGATTTCGATACTAAATACTTTTTCTTAATACCGGCAGTGGCTGATAATGGCTTTGAAAAGTCGTATGACGAAACGAGAGAGTGATATGGCTTCGTTTCTAAAATAACTGAATCTATTTGCGTTGGAAGAGGAAGGAAAGAAGTATTATTATTATTTTCTTCTATATTCATATATTCCACTTCCGAATTATCGTCAATCTCCATATCGCTCATGTCTTTTTTTGTTAAAAAAGAAAATATATTAATAATAATGTTCTTTTATAAACGATTATATTAATTTAATAATGAATCATACTTTTAGTAATAATTACACTTGTCTTTAATATTTACGATATTATTCGCAATAATTTCATCAGAATGATATTTTTCTCTTTATGTAATATGATAATGTCACATTTTATTCATTTGACTTTTACTTACTTTTAACTATGTCAGAATAAAAAAACAATAACCGTTAAACTTATTCATAATTATTCATGTTTCATATGCAAATTTACCTTTTTTAACCGGATAAAACCGATTTTATTTAACTTTGGTCAAACTCTCAATGCCGGCCAAGATTTTAGCAAAACCGGACCGGTTATAAACCAGTATCAGGTTCTCAGGTTTTCGGACTTTAGTTACCGATTTTCGTGACTCATTCTAATTTTATTATTTTATTTAAAGTTAAATAAGTTAAATGAATGAAATTGTATTTTATCCTATTGTAGTTGGGAAGTTTATTTGAATTTCTCGTTTCTTCTGACAATAACCCGATTATCTAATCATCGTGCATATCATAAAAATAGAAATTTTATAACATCCTGCTTTTTTGACATTCTTTGAACAAAAAATACTTTCTAATTTCTACCATTTCGTGGACCTTAAAAATGACATATTGTACTATTTCAAGATGTAATAAAAAAATTGAATGCAAAGATTATAATCTATGTCTCGTTCATATTAAAGAATTAAATTGTAAGAATTAGTTTATATTATATTTATTTGACCTAATACAATATATTATATATTTAAATATATATATATTTGTTTTTTGTGTTGTAGCTACAAATTTCCCTAGTACCATTCAGCTTAAGTCGCCACAAAATTTAACGACTCACCTTATAGAAATCCCAAGGGGAACCTCTGAATTCTCCAGCACAGAACAAAAATTTTTGACTGATTGGGTAAAGGAAAACACGCAAGGTAACGTAAATATTACGCGGTCACCGTAAAATTTAATCCGTAACTTATTTACGCTTTCATGTATAACAAACAATAGGGCTAAGAGTTGATGCAATATATAATATTCTTTTGCCTCAATCAATCGTTGCAAACTACAAGACATATCGTGCCGGTGTTGAATCTCGTGGTAATTTTAAATCGCTTGGTCTACAAGAAGGTAACGAGCTCCTGTTGTATCATGGAACAGATCACGATTGCGCAGTCATTTATGCAGCTGTTATGCAAAGACTTTGCAAATCAAACAATTGTGCTGGCTGTGGTATTCTCATGAATTCCTTCAACATCAGCAAGGTAAATCTCATTGATCTTTATATAAAATGTATAGTTTTTCATTAACTTTTCTTAACATCATATAAGGTGGGGATTAACAAGCAAGGACGAACTTTCCAACGCCTTGGACAAGGGTTATATTTTACACCATTCTCTTCAAAAGCTCACTTTTATGGTCATAAGGGTGTTGAGTACAAATATCCAACTTTTTATTATGTTTAATCGATTTTGATCCAAATTTTTAATCTTTGCGTTTTATTAGGCCAAACCGCATCCTAATGAATCTGGTCGTACGTGTAGGATGATGTTCATGACCAAAGTATGAAATTGTCATCATATGTTTTAACTTGTATTCTATATTTACTTCTTTTCATCATTTTACAGGTCGTGCTTGGCAAAGCCTGGCAGCCAAATCGGGTTGACCAAAATTGCCGTTCACCACCGAGTGGTTTCGACTCTACATGGGGACGTAAAGGTAATTTTGAATCATTATCGCTCGTATCTAAATATATGTATCTAATGTCTTACGTGGATTTAGGTACATGTCCACATGGCGGAGCTGTTTTGAACTACGAAGAATATGCTGTTTACAGGTAAGTGTGAAAGGGCCAACCATATATTTTGGGAATGAGGCTTGTTTTAATTGAAAATTATATTATTTTAGGCATGATGCGTGTCTTCCAACCAAATACATCTCGTACTCATACACGAGTACAAATGAATAAGCCCAAAGTTCCCCCTTTTTTTAATCATCTCAATTTTTTTTTTTATATACAAATGTAAGAATGTAATTTCTAAATATATAAGGTTAATTCGAAAAAACATTTTTGAAAGCCGTTTAATCAAATGTGATTTTTTAATGTACGTACATGTACATGGGCCATGATTATAAGCCACGTGAAACCAATAAATTCGCCTATGATAAGCGCGATAAGGTTATAATATAAATTCGAGTTTTCTCGAAAAGTTCTCGGGCTCAAAAATTTGATCTGTCACGGTTTATGCCGGATCGGATTACAAAGGTCTTTTTTTTTTGAGTAGCAACTTAACAATCAGAATGATGATTTATTTTTTATACAATGAAAAGGTTAATTTTAATTATTAGTGTAACATAACTATTTGTATAATAAAAAACATTATTAAAATATTATTATATTGCTATTTTCTAACAAATTAATTTTGAATTTGAATTTTAATTTTAATTTTAATTATTAATATAATAAATATAAATATAAATATTCAAAAAGATTATATAATACATATAAATAAAGAATATATTAATATATTATAAATTTTAAATTTTAAAGTTATACTTAAGTATATTATAATAATAGGTATTATATATAGAAAATTTTACTTTTAACATTTTTTGATTTTTTTAAAGAAAAAAAATGTATATTATCACATAAATATTTCTTTATAAATTATTTTATTTTAAAAATATATTTTATATATTTTTTTTTTTTTATAATATAGTCATTATTTTTAAAAAAAATATTTAATAAGTTTATTAATATTTTTAAAATTAGATATATTAATTACTCAAATTTATTTAAATATAATAATATATAAAATAGTTTTAATAAATAAAATATTAATATTTTAAATTTTACAATTTTTTTAAAATTATATTATTTAATATAAAAAAGAAAATTATTACATATTACCAGTAGTGATTATTATTGGTATCGCATAATTTTTATATATAAATAATTTATCACCTCATAATATTACTGATTAAAATCAAAAAATCAGACATATAAAAAATCAGCTTAAAATTAACTTAAAATCAGCAAATTATCCTAGCCGATTGATATACATTTGAAATCAGCCAAAAAGCAGCCAAATTCAACCTATCTTATTTATAGTCAATTTGCATACTTATAGCTGATTAGTATATATCAAAAATTGGCTATAACTTGACTTATCTTATTTATAGCTAATTGATATCTGATTAAAATAATTGTATCATTTTAAAGATATAATAGTATTATCATTCCTTAGGTATAATATTATTATTATTTCTTAAGTATGATAACATTATTATTTCTTAGGTATAATAGTTTATCATATCTTAAATACAATAGTTTTATTATTCCTTAGGTATAATAGTTTATTATTCTTTAAGAATGATAGTTTTATCATTCCTTAGATATAATGCATTTATCATTCCTAATGAATAATATTTTTATCATTTCTTAGGTATGATATATTTATTATATCTAAGAAATAATATTATCATCATATCTTAGATATAATGTTTTATCATTCTTAGGTATAATATTTTATCATTCCTAAGGTACAATAATATTATTATTTCTAAGAAATAAATAATTTTATCATTCTTTAAATATAATTAAGATTACTAGATAAAACTTAGAAATTTTATAAGTATTCTAAATAGAAAAAGGTAAAATTTAGTGAAAAAATCTGCAAAATTCTAAAAAAGGTAAATCTATATCAAAGCTTAATAAAAATTTAGCAAAACTATAGTTTAGATATTTTATCAAATCTAAAATAAGTTTAAACAAGTAACCTTAGATATAGTGTATTTATTATTCTTAAAGAACAATATTTTTATCATTTCTTAGATATAATACATTTATTATACTTAAAGAACAATATTACTATCATATCTTAAATACAATGCATTTATCGTTTCTTAGATATGATATTTTATCATTCTTAAGATATGATAATATTATCATTACTAAAAATGATAGTTTTATTATTCTTTAAATATAATACATTTATTGTGTTTAAGGAATGATATTACTATCGTATCTTAGATACAATATATTTATCATTTCTTAAGTATGATAATTTTATTATTCATAAAGTACGATAATTTATCATTTTTTTAGATATGATAATATTATAATTCCTAAGATATAATATTTTTATTATTCCTAAAATGCAATTGTATTATTATGCTTAAGAAACAATATTATCATGTATAATGTATTTATTATTTCTTAAATATAATGATATTATCATTTCTAAGATATAATAATATTATTATTCCTTAGATACAATAGTGTTATTGATTCTTAAGTATGATAAAATATCATACTTAAAGTATAATAGTATTATTATTTCTAAAAAATGATGTTTTATTATTTTTTAGATATAATACATTTATTATACTTAAAGAATGATATAATCATATATAATATATATTTTATCATACTTAAAGAATAATAATTTTATTATTTCTTAGATATAATATATTTATCATATTTAAGGTATAATATTATTATCGTATTTTAGGTATGATAATTTATTATTCTAATAAACTAAATTTTTGATTAAACTGATTTGCTAAAATAATATAAAATATTTAGAGAATTTGTCAAATTAAGAGGAAGATTTTATTGATATTGATTTAATGTATTATTTGAGTTTCTTTTTAGTATATATAGAAATATTTATATAAATAAGCTT